CACGGTTAGGCACAATCAATTTTTGTTGAGTTTCCCTGGCTATAAACATTTGAGTGTAGTCTGATTCTCCTTATCTATCCACTCTTTTAATATTTCTGGTTTTTTAAACTGGTTTTTACTCCTTAGGATATATACACAAACACCTGTGATGCTCAGGCAAAGCAAGGAATGTGTTGTTATCTCTCTTGAGTCCTAGATCCTAAATCTGTGCTCATAGCTGCTGCCTTCATAGTTCATCTTGGGTCTTTGCTTTAGTATTTAAAGGAAATAAAGTTCGATATCCTTAAGTTTTTCAAACTGAATCACAAAAAATATCCAGGAAGTTTGTGGTGCATATCTTTATCCCAGCATTCAGGACACAGAGATACCAGGATCACTGTGAGTTTGAGGTCAGTCTGATCAACAAACTATGTGGCAGCACACACTCGTAAGCTACACAGAGAAACCCTGTCATGAAAACAAAACAAAGCAAAAAATTTTCATTAAAATTTTGCAACCTAAAATGGACCAGACACAAAGTTTTAAATATTATTAAATGAAAACATAAGTGAATACTTATAGCTATTACCACAGATTCACAAACATGTACAGAAGATGTTTTACAAAGGCTACATAAGTTAAGTCAATAAATTTTCATCATCCACAGTGCTCATCCCTCAGAAGCAATGGCTTCAGTCTGCTTTAAACACTGGGCCACGCTCAAACTCTACACTTAATCTTGGTGTTTACAGAAGACCCAGAGCTGTGTGAGTAATATTCAAAATTGTCTTCTTTTCCTCCATGGGATGATGCTCTATATTATTATAGAGTATATATTGTCTCTGAGTAAAGGATTCACTTATCCTAAAAAACAAAATAAAGTTATAGTTGTTTGTTAAATAGCAAACATGCACATATTGCTAGAGTAGAGACAGGTAGTATGGACCAATGATGACCAGGCTCGGCGGCGATCTAAGTCATGCATCATGGATGGCTAAATCACTTCCTGTCTGAGGTTCACAGCATCACACACCTCACACCTGCCTCTTCCCCAGCTGACAAAAGTTAGACATGTGGAGGACATGCTGGACATTAGAATCAGGCACTTTAATGCATGTCCTCAGGGATTAACGAAACATGATATAAATTATAAATATACCTATAAATGCCAATACATTTAGTGAGGCATTGATCCCTTAGAATATAACTATTAGACCACTAATGGCATTGCTACATGCATAAAATCTGGAAGTCAGTTAAGAAATAACTGGCATAAAGATGTTTATAAACATCATGCAAGTTCACATATGATATATAATTAATAGATTAAGCCCCAGATAGGGTCACTTCAATCCTTGATTCTTTAAGACACCATCAACAATTTGAATCCTAAATAACAGGCATTCACCCTTTGTAAAACAGGTGAAAGGGAAAGTGTAGAAATGACTTGAAAACATCAATCTTTTTCTTATCTTCCCTGCTCTGTCCTCCCCGCATGGATGCTGAGTGACACACTGTTGCCTGGCTGGGAGGTCCATGGTTGCCCTATTCCCGTGTGAGAGCATCCAGAAAACTGATGTAAGTGTAATTAATGTTCTTGTCCTGATTTGGGCGACCTTGATAAAACTCTTCTCTCTTGGTAAAGGCATGCATAGGTTCCTGTTAGGAAAACTGTGACTGTGAGCTCAATTTAACATGGCCATGATACAGTGCTGGGGGCTCCGAAATTAAGAGAAGGGACAGAGAATCAGGGCAGCACATACTGTTGCATTACCCACATGTAGTGTGGGTTGTGACACAGATGTCAGGTGTTGTATAATGAGTGTGTGTCATATTTATGTTGATGAGTTTTCATTGTATTATATATAGGTATATACACATATACATATATGTATATATATGAATGAAAGAGTGTCCAGCATTCTCCATAATAATACTAAACGTTAATAGTAACAGTATATATGTAATTCTCAGAAACCTTCTAGTAATAAATGTGCAGAGTTAGAATACCTAAACTGAGGATGCTCTGTGTTGTTTAAAGCAGTTTCTAATGTTCTTGGTAGGATTACAACTGGGTCTCCTGTGATTTTTTTCTCAAGAAGAATATGTTATACTTTTATATACTTAGATGACTAAAATAAAATAGATAAAAGAGTAATGCCATGGTACAGAAGAAGATTGTGTTTGAATCCTTTCTTCTTTTCATCTCTGAAGCTGAAGTTACCCTTCTGTCCGCACCACGAGGTCTATGGTTAGCCTAGGGTCTTGGGAGCACGGGGGGCCATGTAAGTATAGTCCATGTTCTTGTGTTATTTGACCGCTACTCCTTATTTTTAATAAATTACAAATTTTTCAGTAATGACCCAACTGGTATTGACAGATGAAAAATAATCTTGATACACTTCATGTCTTTAAGATTAAAATGATCAGATGACATACTGAATGATCAAAGAAAGTACATAGGAACATAATTGATACCTTAACTTTATATATCCATATCAGCCTATGTCTGTCTATCTATCTATCTATCTATCTATCTATCTATCTATCTATCTATCTATCTATCTATCTATCTATCTGTCTGTCTGTCTATCCATTCACTTATCCATCAACTATCTTTAATCTCGCTATATCTATCTATATATTGTCAAATGATATCATCTGACATTAATATCTTCATTTTACTGTGGAATCACAACTCTATTGGCCGTGTCATAAATATAGAAAAAGCATATTGTCATCTCAGTTAAGGAATCCAAAGTGAAGCCTATTGCTGGCCTATTGTGAAACAGGTAGATGGTTGATCTTCTCTTATATGACTATCTAGGAAGTACAAATAAATTTAGTCATTTATCATTTCCTTGCCATTTGCATTCATGTATTTAGACATACCTTAACATACAGTTTTTACACTTTCCTTGAAGTTTTGGGGACAAAGTATCCTATATACAGGCAGATGGCTCCATGTATATTTATGTTTGACAGACTGTTTGGGAGACTGATTTAGGATCTATTTTTTTCTACCTAGGTTCATTCAGTGTATTTAGATGTCCCCTGATAGGTAGGTGGTGTGTAGCTAGACAGGCACATGGACCAGTCTTGGTTCTCAATTATTGTCTGATGTTCAGTTGTGGGGAAGGTAATATGTGACTCAGTGGCTTTTCAGTGAGCTTGGTTACAACACCCCAGTACACGGTTAGGCCCAATCAATTTATGTTAAGTTTCCCTGGCTATAAACATCTGCGTGTAGACTGAGTCTCCCTATCTATCCACTCATTTAATATTACGGGTTTTTTAAAACTGCTTTTTACTCCTTAATAGACACACAAACACCTGTGATGCTCAGGCAAACCGAGGAATGTGTTGTTATCTCTCTTGAGTTTTAGATCCCAAAATCTGTGCTTATAGCTGCTGCCTTCAAAGTTCATCTTGGGTCTTTGCTTTAGTACTTAAAGGAATAAAAGTTAGATATCCTTAAGTTTTTCAAACTTAATCATAAAAAGTATCCAGGGATTTTTTGGTGCACATCTTTATCCCAGCATTCAGGACCCAGAGACACCAGGATCTCTGTGAGTTTGAGGTCAGTCTGATCAACTGATCAGATCAATGTGCCAGCACACACTCCTAAGCTACACAGAGAAACCCTGTCATGAAAACATAACAAAGCAAAACATTTTCATTAAAATTTTGCAACCTAAAATGAACCAGACACAAACACTTAATTTTTATTAAGTGAAAACATATAGCTATTACCACAGATTCACAAATATGTACATAAAAATTTTTACAAAGGCTACATAAGTTAAGTCAATAAATTTTCATCATCCGCAGTGGTCATCCCTCAGAAGCAATGGCTTCAGTCTGCTTTAAACACTGGACCACACTCAAAGTCTACACTTACTCTTGGTGTTTACAGAAGACCCAAAGCTGTGTAAGTAACATTCAAAATTGTCTTCTTTTCCTCCATGGGATGATGCTCTATATTATTATAGAGTATAAATTGTCCCTGAGTAAAGGATTCACTTATCCTGAAAAACAAACAAAGTTATAGTTGTTTGTTAAACATCCAACATGCACATATTGCTAGAGTAGAGACAGGTAGTATGGACCAATGATGACCAGGCTCGGCGGCGATCTAAGTCATGCATTGACGATGACTACATCACTTCCTGTCTGAGGTTCACAGCATCACACACCTCACACCTCCCTCTTAGCCAGGTGACAAAAGTTAGACATGTGGAGGACATGCTGGACATTAGAATCAGGCACTTTCATGCACGTCCTCAATGGATCAATGTAAAATGACATGAATATACATCTAAATGCAAATACATTTATTGAGGCATTGATCACTTATAAATTAAATATTGGACCACAAATGCATTGCTACATGCATAAAATCTGGAAGGCTGTTAAGAAATAAGTGACAAAAAGATGTTTATAAATGTCATGTTAGTACACATATGATATATAATAAATGGATTAAACCCCACAGAGGGTCACCTCCTTCCTTGCTTCTTTAAGACACCATCAACTATTTGAATCCTAAATAACAAGTAGTGAAAGGGAAAGTGTGGAAATGACTTGTGAAACATCAATCTTTTTATTATCTTCCCTGCTCTGTCCTTCCCGTATGGATGCTGAGTGACACACTCTTTCCTGGCTGGGAGATCGATGGTTGCCCTATTCCCATGTGTGAGCATCCAGAGAACTGATGTAAGTGGAGTCAAAGTTATTGTCCTGTTTTGGTTGGCCTTGATAAAACTCTCCTGTCTTGGTGAAGGCATGCATATGCTCCTGTGAGGACAATTGTGACTGTAACCTCAATTTAACATGGCCATGACACAGTGCTATGGGCTCCAAGATGAAGAGAAGACACAGAGATTCTTGTGGCACAAAATCTGTTGAATTACATCAATATCTCAGGATTTTGTGACCAATAGTTATGTAACTATCATAGGAGACACAGATAGTTAGGTAATAATAACACAGAGAGAGAAAGATCAAGGCAAAGGTGGTGTTGGATCAAATATGACCACTGATGATGTATGATCCCGGCATCGTGACTACAGGTCTGGGAGTCTGATGTTCACAGGAGAACACATGTGGTGTGGGTTGTGATACAGATGTCAGGTGTTGTATATTGAGTGTGTGTCATAATATATATGTTGATGAGTTTTCATTGCACTGTATGTATATATGTATGTAGATATATACATATACATAAATATATTTACATATGAATGAAAGAGTTTCCGGCATTCGCCATAATAATACTAAATGTTAATATTAACAGTATATATATAATCCTCAGAAACCTTCTAGTCATATATGTGCAGAGTTAGAATACCTAAGCTCCGTCTGCTCTGTGTTGTTTAAGCAGTGTCTAACGTTCTTGTTAGGATTACAACTGGGTCTCCTGTGTATATTCTCAAGAAGAATATACTATAGTTTTATACTTAGATGACTAAAATAAAATAGATTCAACACTAAGGTCAAGGTAAGAAGAAGATTGTGTTTTAATCCTTTCTTCTTTCCATCTCTGTGGATATTCCCAAGCTGAGTTACCCTTCCGTCTGTATCATGAGGTCCACAGCTAGACTAGGGTCTTGGGAGCACGGGGAGCCATGTAAGTATAGTTCATGTACTTGTGTTATTTTAACTGCTACTCCTTATTGTTAAATAAGTTACAAATTTTTCAGTAATGACCCAGCTGGTAGTGACAGATGAAAAATAACTTGATGCACTCAATGTCTTTAATATAAAATGATCTGATGACATACAGAATGATCCAGGAATTGCAGTAAAACATACATAGGAACATATTTGATACCTTAACTTTATATGTCCATATCATCATAAGTCTATCTGTCTGTCGGTCTGTCTGTTTGTTTGTCTGTCTGTCTGTCTATCCATCCATTCACTTATCCATCAACTATCTTCATCTCCCTCTATCTATCTATCTATTGACTAAATGATATCATCTGACATTAATATCGTCATTTTTCTGTGGAAACACAACTGTAGTGGCTATGTCCTAAATATAGAAAAAACACATTGCTATCTCAGTTAAGGAATCCAAATTGGAGCCTAGTGCTGTTCTATTGTGAAACAGGTAGATGGTTGATCTGCCCCCATATGACTCTCTAGGAAACACAAATAACTTTACCCATTTATCATTATCCTTGGTGTTTGCGTTCATGTATTTAGACATACCTTAACATACAGTTTTTATGCTTTCCTTGAAGTTTTGGGGATAAAGTATCCTATATGCAGGAAGAGGGCTCCATGTATATTTATGTTTGACAGACAGTGCAGGAGACTTTTTAGGATCTATTTACTTCTACCTAGATTCACTCAGTGTATTTAGATGTCCCCTGATGAATAGGTGGTGTGTAGCTAGAAAGACACATGGACCAGTCTTGGTTCTCATTCTTTTTGTAGATGATCAGTTTTAGGGAAGTTAATAAGTGATTCAATGGCTTTTCAGTGAACTTGCCTACAACACTCCAGTACACGGTTAGGCCCAAGCAATTTTTGTTGAGTTTCCCTGGCTATAAACATCTGAGTATAGACTGAGTCTACCTATCTATCCACTCATTTAATATTTCTGTTTTTTTAAACTGGTTTTTACTCCTTAGGATAGACACACAAACACCAGTGATGGCCAAGTAAACCAGGGAATGTGTTGTTATCTCTCTTGAGTCCTAGATCCTTAATCTGTGCTCATAGCTGCTGCCTTGATAGTTTATCATAGGTCTTTGCTTTAGTACTTAAAGGAAATAAAGTTAGATAACCTTAAGTTTTTCAAACTTAATCATTAAAATGTATCCACACAGTTTGTGGTGCACATCTTTATCCCCGCATTCAGGACCCAGAGACACCAGGATCTCTGTGAGTTGGAGGTCATTCTGATCTACAAACTATGTGCTAGCACACACTTGTAAGCTACACAGAGAAACGCAGTCAGGAAAACAAAACAAAGCAAAAAATTTCCATTAAAATTTTGCAACCTAAAATGAACCAGACACAAAGATTTAAATTTTATTAAGTGAAAACATATAGCTATTACCACAGATTCACAAACATGTACAGAAGATGTTTTACAAAGCCTACATAGGTTAAGTCAATAAATTTTCATATCCACAGTGCTCATCCCTCAGAAGCAATGGCTTCAGTCTGCTTTAAACACTGGGCCACGCTCAAAGTCTACACATATGTGTGGTGTTTACAGAAGACCCAGAGCTGTGTGAGTAATATTCAAAATTTCTTCATTTCCACAATGGGATGATGCTCTATATTATTATAGAGCATAGATTGTCTCTGAGTAAAGGATTCACTTATCCTGAAAAACAAACAAAGTTATAGTTGTTTGTTAAACATCCAACATGCACATATTGCTAGAGTAGAGACAGGTAGTATGGACCAATGATGACCAGGCTCGGCGGCGATCTAAGTCATGCATTGACGATGACTACATCACTTCCTGTCTGAGGTTCACAGCATCACACACCTCACACCTCCCTCTTAGCCAGGTGACAAAAGTTAGACATGTGGAGGACATGCTGGACATTAGAATCAGGCACTTTGATGCATGTCCTCAGTGGATCAATGTAACATGACATGAATATACATCTAAATGCAAATACATTTAGTGAGTCATTGATTACTTAGAAAAAAATATTGGACCATAAATGCATTGCAACATGCATAAAATCTGGAAATCAGTTAAGAAATAAGTGGCATAAAGATGTTTATAAATGTTATGCAAGTTCACATATGATATATACATATTGGATTAAGCCCCATGAGGGTCACCTCCTCATTTGCTTCTTTAAGACACCATCAACAAGATGAAACCTAAATAACAGGTAGTGAAAGGGAAAGTGTGGAAATGACTTGTGAAACATCAATCTTTTTATTATCTTCCCTGCTCTGTCCTCCCCGCATGGATGCTGAGTGACACACTGTTGCCTGGCTGGGAGATCGATGATTGCCCTATCCCCATGTGTGAGGATCCAGAGAACTGATGTAAGTGGAGTTAAATTTCTTGTCCTGCTTTTGTTGACCTTGATAAGACACTCCTGTCTTGGTAAAGGCATGCATAGGCTCCTGTTAGGACAATTGTGACTGTAACCTTAATTTAACATGGCCATGTCACAGTGCTATGGGCTCCAAGATGAAGAGAAGACACAGAGATTCTTGTGGCACAAAATCTGTTGAATTACCTAAATATGTCAGGATTTTGTAACCAATAGTTATGTAACTATCACAAGAGACACAGATAGTTAGGTAATAATAACACAGTGAGAGAAAGAGGAAGGCAAAGGTGGTGTTGGATCAACAATGACAACTGATGATGTATGATCTGGGATCATGACTACAGGTCTGGGAGTCTGAGTTTCACACCGGAACACATGTAGTGTGGGTTGTGACACAGATGACAGATGTTGTATAATGAATGTGTGTCATAATATTTATGTTGATGAGATTTAATTGTACTGCATATATACATACATGTATGTAGATATATACATATGCATAAATATATTTACATATAATGAAAGTGTTCAGAATTCTCCATAATAATATGAAATGTTAATATTAACAGTATATATAATGCTCAGAAACCTTCTAATAATAAATGTGCAGAGTTAGAATACCTAAGCTGAGGATGCTCTGTGTTGTTTACAGCAGGGTCTAACATTCTTGGTAGGATTACAACTGGGTCTCCTGTGTATTTTCTCCAGAAGAATATATTATAGTTTTATATACTTAGATGACTAAAATAAAATAGATACAACACTAGGGCCATGGTACAGAAAAAGATTGTGTTTTAATCCTTTTTCTTTTCATCTCTGTGGATATTCCCAAGATGAAGTTACCCTTCGGTCTGTATCATGAGGTCCACGGCTAGCCTAGGGTCTTGGGAGCACGGGGAACCATGTAAGTATATTTCATGTTCTTGTGTTACTTTAACTGCTACTCCTTATTGTTAAATAAGTTACAATTTTTTCAGTAATGATCCAGCTGGTAGTGACAGATCAAAAATAACTTGATGCACTTAATGTCTTTAATATAAAATGATTTGATGACATACTGAATGATCCAGGAATTGCAGTGAAACATTCATAGGTATAGAATTGATAACTTTATATGTCCATGTCAGCTTACGTCTATCTGTCTGTCTGTCTGTCTGTCTGTCTGGCTGTTTGTCTGTCTGTCTGTCTATCCATTCATTCACTTATCCATCAACTATCTTCATCTCCCTCTATCTATCTATCTATTGACTAAATGATATCATCTGACATTAATATCGTCATTTTTCTGTGGAATCACAACTGTAGTGGCCATGTCATAGATATAGTGAAAGCATATTGTTATCTCAGTTAAGGAATCCAAAGTGGAGCCTAGTGCTGGCCTATTGTGAAACAGGTAGATGGTTGATCTGCCCCCATATGACTCTCTAGGAAACACAAATAACTTTACCCATTTATCATTATCCTTGGTGTTTGCGTTCATGTATTTAGACATACCTTAACATACAGTTTTTATGCTTTCCTTGAAGTTTTGGCGATAAAGTATCCTATATGCAGGAAGAGGGCTCCATGTATATTTATGTTTGACAGACAGTGCAGGAGACTTTTTAGGATCTATTTACTTCTACCTAGATTCACTCAGTGTATTTAGATGTCCCCTGATGAATAGGTGGTGTGTAGCTAGAAAGACACATGGACCAGTCTTGGTTCTCATTTTTTTTGTAGATGATCAGTTTTAGGGAAGTTAATATGTGATTCAGTGGCTTTTCAGTGAACTTGCCTACAACACTCCAGTACATGGTTAGGCCCACTCAATTTCTGTTGAGTTTCCCTGGCTATAAACATCTGAGTGTAGACTGAGTTTCCCTATGTATCCACTCATTTAATATTTCTGTTTTTTTTAATCTGGTTTTTACTCCTTAGGATAGACACACAAACACCAGTGATGGCCAAGTAAACCAGGGAATGTGTTGTTATCTCTCTTGAGTCCTAGATCCTTAATCTGTGCTCATAGCTGCTGCCTTCATAGTTCATCTTGGGTCTTTGCTTTAGCA